AACAAAAGAGAGTGCAGGAGGTGTGCCACACAATAAAACAGCCATATCTCATGAGTACTCACTCAGCACTGCAATGAAAACATCAAGCCATAAGTAATATGACCCCATGATCCAGGCCTTATATTCAACGTTGAGGATTACATTTCATCATGAGATTAGGGTGGGAACACATGTCCAAACTATATCATTCTGCCCCTGGCCCCTCCCAAATGTCATGTCCTTCTTACATTGCAAAACATAATTACGCCTTTTCAACTTTTCCCCAAATTTTAACTCATTCTCTCATTAACTCCATAGTCCAAAGTTCCATTAGAGATGAAACAAATCTCTTCAACCTATAAGCCTATAAAATCAAAACAAGTTATTCACTTCCAAGATACAATGGGGGTGCGGACATTGAGTAAACATTGACATTCCCAAAGGCATAAATCAACCAAAAGAAAGAGGCTAGAGGCACTATGACAATTCAAAACCCAGCAGCGCAGCAGTCATTACATCTTACAGCCTCAAAATAATGCTTGAGTCCATGTCCCACATCCAGGGCATACTAATGCAAGGGGCCAGCTCCCAAAGTCTTAGGCAGCTCCAGTTCAGCCCCTGTGTATCTGCAGAGTACAGCTCCTATGGCTGCTCTTATGGGTTGTAGTGGTGTGGCTATGGCTTGACCCAGGGTGCAAGCTGCTAGTGGATCTACCCATTCTAGAGTCTTAAGGATGGTAGTTTTCTTCTCACAGCTCCACTAGGCAGTGTTCCAGTGGTGACTCTGTTTGGGGCTTCCAACCCCACATTTCCCCTCCAACTGTCCTGGTAGAGGTTCTTTGTGAGGTCTCCACCCTTACAGCAGTGTTCTCCCAGGACACCCAGGCTTTTTTGTACATCCTCTGAAATCTAGAGGGAGGCTGCCAAGCCTCATTCACTCTTAAACTCTGTGTACCTGTAGGCTTAGCACCATGTGGAAGGCATAATGGCTTATGGCTTGTATCCTCTGAAGCAGTGGCCTAAGCTGTACCTCGGCCCCTTTGAGCCATGAATAAAGCCAGAGTGTATGGAATGTGGGAAGCAGTGTTCTAAGGTTGCCCAGGGTAGGATCACCGTAGGCCTGGCTCCTGAAACCATTTATTCCATGTAGGCCGCGGGGCCTGTGATGGGAGGGGATGCTGCAAAGGTCTCTGAAATGACTCCTAGGCCTTTCTCCTATTGTGTTGGATATTAGCACTTGGTTCTCTATTGGTTATGTAGATTTCTCTAGCAAGTGGTTGCTCCACACCCTGCTTAAATTCCTCTTCTGAATAAACTTTTTCTTTCTCCAACATGTGGACAGTCTTCAAATTTTCCAAACTTTCATGCTCTACTTTCTTTTAAAATATAAGCTCCAACTTTAAGTCATTCCTTTGCTTCCACATGTGAGTTGGGTCATTAGAAGCAGCCAGGCCACATCTTGAACACATTGCTGCTTAGAAATTTATTTTGTCAGATACCGTAAATCATCACTCCCATGTTCAGACTTCCACATATCTGTAGAGCATGAACAGAATGCATACAAGCTCTTTGCTAAGGAATAATATCTGTCAGTTTTGCTCCAATTCCCAATAAATTCTTCAGTTCCATCTGAGACCTCATCAGCCTGAACTTCACTGTCCATATCAATATCACAATTTTGGTCACAACCATTTAACCAGGGTCTATGAAACCTGAAACTTTCTTTTGACACCTCCAAACTCTTCCAACCTCTGCCTGTTACCTAGTTCCAAAGCCACTTTCATGCTTTCAGGTGTCTATAGCCTCAACCATCTCCTCAGCATAAATTTTCCGTATTTGGCCATTCTTGCATTTCCATGAAGAAATATCTGAGACTGTGTAATTTATAAGAAAAGTAGTTTAATTGGCTGATGTTTTCACAGGTTATACAGGAAGCATTGTGCTGGTATCTGCTTCTTGAGAGTTCCCAGCAAGCTTTCTTTCCTGGTGGAAGGCAAAGGGGAACAGGCATCTCATGCTTTGGGAGCAGTAGCAAGACAGAGTGGGATGGAAGGTGCCGCACAGTTAAACAACCAGATGAGTACTCACTCACTACTGCAAGGACAGTGTCAAGCCATAAGGGATCTGTCCTCAAGGCCAAACACATCTCACCAGGTCCCACCTCAAACACTGGTGATTTTATTTCAACAAGAGATTTGGTCAGGAACAAATATCCAAACTATATCAACACCCCTCCCTCCATCCCACCCTTCCAAGTCTTTGATGTTTATTACTCCACTCTCTATGTCCATATATATGTGCACACATTATTTAGCTACTACTTATGAATTAGATGATAGGTATCTTGATTTTCTGTTTCTGATTTATTTCGTTTAAGAGAATGGTTTCAAGTTTCATCCATGTTGCTGTAAAAGACATGATTTCATTATTTTTATGGCTGAATAGTATTCCAAGATATACATACACTACATTTTCTTTATGCAATTATCTACTGATGGACATTTGGGCTGATTTTATATATTATCATGAATACTGCTGCAATAAACCTATGAGTTCAGGTATATTTTTATCTAATGATTTATTTTCCTTTGGGTAGGTACCCCATAGTGGGATAACTAAATCAAATGAGTAGTCCAATGATTAGTTCTTTGAGAAGTCTCCGTACTGTTTTCCATAGAGCTTGTACTAGTTTACAGTACAATGAACAATGTATAAGCATTCCCTTTTCTCCACGATCTCACCAACATCTGTTATCTCTTGACTTCTTAATAATAACCATTTTGACTAGAGTAAATGCATATCTAATTGTGATTCTAATTTTCATTTCTCTGATGATTAACCATGTTAAGCCTTTTTGCTGTAATTTGTGACTACATGGATGAATATGGTGACCATTACAGTAAGTGAAATAATCCAGGCATGGAAATACAAATATCACATGATCTTGCTTCTGTGTGAAATCTAATAAGGTTGAACTCGTAGAAATAGAGTGTGGAACAGTGGTTGTCAGAGGCTGGGGATGGCTTTAAGAGGGAGAGAATGGGGAGATTTTGGCCAATGAATACAAAGTTTCAGGTAGACAGGAGGAATAGGTTTTGAAATCCATTGCACAGCACTGTGATTATAGTCAATAGTAATGTATTATATATTTGAAAATAACAAAGTAACCATAAAAATGTCTCAACATAAAAAATAGTAGGTAAGAGATGTGATCAATGTGCTAGCTTTTTAAATTATAACACTTTGCATACATATATTAAACATCACATTGTGCCCCCAGATGCATACATTAATAATTATGATTTATCAGTTAATCATAATATTAATAATATTTTTAAAAGTCAAAACCATAGTGATAGAAACTAGTTCAGTGGTTGGTATGGTCCAGCAGGGGTATGACAGGAAATTAACAGACATAAGGGAAATTTGGGGGCTGATGAAAATGTTCTCTGTCATAACTGTGGTGAGTGGCTACATGATATTTGTCAAGGGTCATCAAATTGTATATACTAACAATAGGTAAATATTACTGAAGGTAAAGTATACCTTAATAAATCTGACTTTTAAGAAAGAAAGAATCAAGAACAGAGAGGATAAGGAAATTAAAGATTGAAATCTAAGTGGATAAACTTCTATGGGATATAGAGATAGCAGAAAGGAGTCTAGAAGAATACCCTGGACTATGGTTTAGAGATTCACAGTAACTTCTTATGTGGTGCCATTGATTTCTGGTAAAAACATTTTAGAAGCAGTTTACAGGGCTGACAGGATGGTGAGACAGAGCCATAGTATCTGCACAACACAGGGGAAATATTTGCAGTTTCAACCATCTCTGAATCCCTGTGATGCATATACTCTGGCAGATATGTATGGCCACCAGATGATTCTCAGTACTCTCTCAATATTATACACTTTTAATTATTTTAACTAAGGACATTTAGTCAATATGTACCATAATCTAATGTTTATACATTCACATCATTTTTTATAAATCTATATGCAAGGCTGAAAATATTTTTCTCATTATTTGTGTTCTGATTTGGGAGTTGAGAAAAATAGTAACATGTTTCCATGCTCTGGTAATTCTATGGTAAGGTATTTCTTAATCTCCTTGATGAAAACTGCTTGAACATATTTAGGAGATCTCCCATACAGTACACTAGGAAATTTACAAGAATCATCTTATGATTCATGATTGAATTAACTTACAGTCGATGATTGGATCATCTTATAATTGTCATCAAATAGCTTTGAAGTATATCTTATCTTGACAAATGAATAAATTGAGGCTATTAAATATTAAATAACTTTTGTATGGCTATACAGATAATAAGTGCTCAAGCCGTATGTATTTGACACCTCAGTTTGTGCTCTTCCTACCTTGCCCTTGAGCCTTTATGTGAGGCTAAGAGAAGGCTGGGTGCCTTTATAAAAATTCCCACAGTACTACCCGAGTATTTCAGGAGATAAAAAGACTTTATCAATTATTTAGTCTAATTTCTGTTTTTTACAGATGAGGTACTTAAATTGGAGAGTGTATTAGCAACTTAGCCAAGGTCATAGGGGCATATATTAAAACAGCTCACTTAGAGCCTAGATCTGGTAACTTCCAATGAGATATATTTTTTTCTATTTCTGTCTAGGACCACTCAACAAAATGCTGATCAGACCAAGGAAATAAGCTGGACTCTAATACAGCCACGGAGCTGCTCCTCTTGTTAAAACAAAAAAAAGTATATGTATATATGTGTGTGTGTATATATATATATATATATATATATGTGTGTGTGTGTGTGTGTGTGTGTGTGTGTGTGTGTGTGTGTCTGTGTCTGCTCACCATGGAAGTAATGTTGGAAAGTACAACCAAATTCATAATGTAAAAAGAATTTCTATATTCATAATCTGCTAAGCATATGTCAATGAAGCTATCTTTACCATGAAACCATCTCTATCCACCTAATAATTTTACAAAAAGGAATCTCTTACAAGGATACCAAAGCTGAAATGAAACTAGCTGCTAAAAAATGATAAACTTTCTTCTAACAAATTACCTACAGAATCTCCCAGAGAAACTTTTTATCATAATCTAATCTCTAAAAAATAGGAAATTTTTTGTGAGGATCAGTGTCATAAACAAGACATTTATTAACTCTTACCATGAGCCACACACTGTTCTAAGGTCTTTACATATATTACATTTTTTATCTTCAACATGATTCTATGAAGCCAACATTATTATGCTAATGTTACAATTGAGGAAACTGAGGTGAAGGCAATTTAAGTAACTTGCCCAAAGTCATACAATGATAAGAGATGGAGAGCCAGGCAGGGACTTTAGATTTTGCATTCCTACCCATCACACCACACCTGAAGTCTTTCGATATATTTATAGTATGTTTGAAGGGAGGTTCAACTCAATTTTAAAATAAGTTATAACCAGTTAAATCTATTCTGAAATACTTCCCTTTCAGTCAGGTTTCCAGGTTTCCTGTGGATATAATTAATATTATTAATAGGTAGTAGCTTGTGGAACGAGCTCCCGTAGAAGCAAAAGGCAAGACGTGAAAGTTAAAAAAGACTTTTATTTGATTTCTGTATCTCTCACTTACTGAGCAATTTATTTAATTGTCTTAGCCTCAGTTCTTTAGCGACAAAACCAACATAATTTTATTGGCTTTAGGATTTCTGTGTATGCCATTCAGAGTGCTAGTATGATTCACCCTCAAAAGGAGTGATTGGAAAGTTTCAGTGAAGATATTATTCATAAGACGTGGGAAACCAGCAAGGCTTCTGATCAATAGTGAGGAGCCATTATCACTCCTAAGCTTGAAGGATCAAAGAAAAGGAGTTACGTGGCCGGGCGCGGTGGCTCAAGCCTGTAATCCCAGCACTTTGGGAGGCCGAGGCGGCTGGATCACGAGGTCAAGAGATCGAGACCATCCTGGTCAACATGGTGAAACCCCGTCTCTACTAAAAATACAAAAAATTAGCTGGGCATGGTGGCACATGCCTGTAATCCCAGCTACTCAGGAGGCTGAGGCAGGAGAATTGCCTGAACCCGGGAGGCGGAGGCTGCAGTGAGCCGAGATCGCGCCATTACACTCCAGCCTGGGTAACATGAGTGAAACTCCGTCTCAAAAAAAAAAAAAAAAAAAAAGAAAAGGAGTTACAAGAACCTAAAGAAATTGTCTTTCACTGTGAACAACATAGGCTGTCTAAGTGGAGCTGGCAGCATTAGTTGATGGACACCCACAAGTTCTTGGTAAACATATGGGAGGAACCCAGGAGAAGAGATTTCTGCCCTTCTCTCCTCTCTTGCTACAATCTCCTGCATCTTTTTCACTCAACCCAGCAGAAGCCGAAGGGAAAGGGAACCAAGGTGTTGCATCCAATACAAATCAGTCCCCCGGGGTAGCGGGAAAAGAAAGGATCCACAGGACACACACTGATGACATTGTACGATGAACATTACACGTGAAAAAGCTGTAATGAAGCATGGGCTTAATAATTATTAATTTATTTTTTTCCCTCTAGTGGTCATCTTTTGTTTCTGCCAGCTCTTCATTGCATCCTATTCTTTCAGTAAAATCGGCTTTCCTTTAATAAAAACACGAATCCCACGATAGTAAGAGGGATGCGTGTAAAAATATTTCAGTGCTTGAGACTTTCATTTTTAGGGAGCGATTCTATACCATAGCGGTTTAAACAAAAGGATTCAGAATGAGAGTGACTGAGTCTGAATTACAGTTCACTTACTAGCTGTGACCTTGGGTAGGAGCTTGCTGAGCCTCAGTTCTTATTTCTGCATAAATGGAGCATTATACTAATAGTGACTCAACAGGGTGTGTACATTATATAGTGACTATAAAAAAAGATGAGCCTGTATGCAAGACTTAACTGTTATTATTCCATGTGGTCTTCTTAATATTGACAATCAGGTAATCCACCCACTGCCTTCATGATTGAACCTCCTTTTGGGTCGGTATGTGTCCTAGACTGGGCCAGTCTGACATTTTCTCTTGAGGAGTTGAATTCTGCACTGAATGGTACAGGATTAAAACAATCTGTTGATGCTGAAGTCACTCTAACGGCAAGGCCCTTAAGAAACTGCCAATTATTTCTCTCTGTTCAATCCCTGGAATAATCCTGGTTTTATATTTCCAGATTGGTCACTTATTCCTTTGATATTTAAAAAAATATTTACTTTTTATATTTTAAACAACTTTATGGAGGTATAATTCTCATGTACTAAAATTCACCCATTAAAGGCAAAAAATTTAATGTTTTTTAGTACATTCATAGAGTTGTGCAACCATTGCCACAGGCTAATTTTGGAACACTTTCATCATTCTCAAAAGAAATACCTTACCTTCTTTGGTACTCACCCCTCATTTCCTTCAACCACCTCTCTCTAGCACGTCACCTTAATCTAGATTCTGTTCCTACAGATTTTAGACAAGAAAAAGCAATGATAAAATGGCAATTTTTTTTTTTTTTTTGAGCGGGAGTCTCTCTCTGTCACCAGGCTGGAGTGCAGTGCTGCGATCTCAGCTCACTGCAATCTCCATGTCCCGGGTTCAAGCCATTCCCGTGCCTCAGCCTCTCGAGTAACTGGGATTACAGGCACATGCCACCACACCTGGCTAATTTTTTGTATTTTTAGTAGAGACGAGGTTTCACCCTGTTTGCCAGGATGGTCTTGATCTCTTGACCTCCTGATCCACGTGCCTCAGCCCCCTGAAGTGCTGGGATTACAGGTATGAGCCATCGCGCCTGGCTGAAAAGGTAATATTTTTAAAATATGGTGTTGTGACAACTAAAAGTCCACATGCAGAAGAATGAATTTTGACCCCTACCTCACAGACTATACAAAAATTAATTCAAAATGTTAAAATACCTAAATAAAGGAAGTAAAACTCTTAGAAGAAACATAAGTACACATTTTGTTCTTGTGATTTTTGAGTTGCCTACTAACCTTTCAAAAATTTTATCTTAGAGTTCAGGTTTCTCTAAAATTCTGTTTTGTTTTAGTGTTATTGTTGTTTGCTTGCAAGCGCAAGACTTACCATATAGCTCTCCACCCCTGACTCCCTTGTAGTTAGAATATCATACTACTGATAGGAGTTATAGAATGTTTTCTTCCTAAAAAGCATCCCCACTACCACCCACATTTCCACCCCAGCTACACTAAGATGAATGTATGGCATTATTGAACTAGAACATGTTATCTCAGCTTACGTCTGATTAAATTTGAGAACACCATTATAGGTATCTTCACCTACCAAGTGGCAATTGACTATTTTCTTGGGTACAATACAACACTGCCAAGAATATTCATGAAAATTTTTATTTTACAATTTGACTGTCAGATTCTTTTACTTTGCACATTGCCACAGCTGTTCATTAAATTGCATAAAAGAAATGCAAGAGTATTCTCAAGGTTGGATTATCTTGCTGAGAAAGTGAACAACAACTGCAGAACTCAAATAATAATACTAACAGTAACAAAACCTTCTGTTGTATAGGATAGAAAATGCACAGTTTCAACAATTTGCAGGGTTCCTTTTTTCTCTGAGCAAGTCAATTAAACCACATGCTTGGGAAAACATATTTCTGATATTCCAGAGAAATTATTACAGATTTTTCACATGAGAAAAGTACAGATAAAAAAACAACAATGAGTGCACTGATATCCATCTAAATAAGAGAATAAGCTTCCTGTTAAGTGTAGGCAATAAGACAGATAAGGATGTCAAGTAATATATCAACACATGTGGGGAAAAAAAAGAAGAGTATGTAAAAATAAGAACTAATTATCCCCTCTCCTGTTTTTTTCTCTTTCATCTTTTGCTGCTCCTTAACTGAATCGTTTTCTTCTGTCTAAGCATAAAATGTTAGTCTCTTGCTATCCAGTCCTACATCTATCCTTTACTATGCACCTGGCATCTATCCTTTACTATGCATTCTTCTTGATGATACCATTCACTCCTATGGCATCAATTATTATCCATTCCACATATGCGTAACTTCCACATGCATAACTCCAACTCAGACATTTCTTCTGAATTCTAGAAGTCTCCATTTGTCTCCTGAACATGTCTACATGGGTACCCAAAAGGCGTATCAAATTCAGCATGCCTGAAACTAAACTCATAATCTTCTTTCCCCAATGCTCTTCTGGCAACTCCATCTCAAAATGGCACCACCATTCATCTATCTGCAAAAGTCAGAAACCTAAGGCTCATCCTTGATATTCCCATTTCATTCATATTTCACAGGTCATTCATTAGGTGGCAGAAGCACAATTTAAACCAATATATTAACTTTCAGTCTAGTACTACCTCACTATTCCACAGAGTAATAAGGACCCCAGAGTCTAATAAGCAAACATTTAATAGATTTAATCTCATCAGACCTATTTTATCTACATTTAGTCACCAGTATTTGTTCATAATGCATTCCCAAGGGGAGGGTAAGGGAACATGTACTAAATTAGAATTGTGAAACCTGGGCAATATTCCCAGAGAGCTAATTTTAAAATGTTAAAACTTCTTAATCACTTATCACTTTGAAATTTAATTGTTTATTATAATGTTGTGGGATACTGAGATTTTTCCTAATTCTCCAGAATGAAAACCTCTAGCCTACAGCTGAGGACAAAGAGGCTCTAAGAACCCTATATTCTTAAGATACCTGCCAAAAATTTTCACCAGACACTTTCCTAAGGACTCACTGAAATTACCAAGTGGTAGCACATATTGTACTAGTGCCTCCAATAATCATCCCAACATTTTCTCTTCCTCTAACTTAGTATATTTTTAAAAACTGCAGAATGGAGAGCAAAATAATCAAAGTCAAGAACAATTGTTGCAGGAGTGACCAGGCTTGTGTTCAGGTATCACCCAACCAGAATGTACTCTTGCCTTGGTGCTGAATCAGGATACTGGGGGCCTCTTGCTATGACAGATAGCACCTTCATATTTGCTGGAATGTAGAGTTGAGAGGCTGAATTGGATGCTTAAGAGAAGGACTGATGTGAGAGAGGGAGGGGGGAGGTGATATAAAGTTAGTGGCTATTTGCCAATGAATAAAGAAGTATTTCAGTATTTGAAGAATGTTTCTCAATGAAGGGAAGATATTGGCATTGGGATATCACTATTCTCCAGGGACTGTCCATGCACTGCAAGCATTTAATGTATCTTACTCTTGGAAATTAAATGCTGTTTCAGTCACTTCAAGACAATCAATAATCCCTTCACACATTTTAAAAGGCTCCCTGAGTGGTACTGCACACCTTGTGACCCACTTCCACATCTACTGCACTAGGGAACTATACAACTGAATAAATCCACTGAGCTTTTGCAAATCTAAAACATGAGCCAATAAAGGAGGCTTCACTTTGATTCCTTTATTACAGAGAAATCTGATTGCCAAGAAGAGTTAACAGAGAAGAAGCAATAACAAACAATAACAAAAATCATCACAGCCAAGAAGTAAAGAGAGACTTGTTAATACATTCATTTGCTCCACTGTCCGTCCTCCTCAACACCCTGAAAGAATGAGGTCTTGAAGAATGAGGACAGAAGAAATATCTACTTCAGATCCTTCCCTGTCACACCTAAACTATCAGCATTTCAGTTTAAGTCTGTGATGTAGGGAAAGGAAGAGAAATGGAAGTTAAATAGAGTTAGAGACTGAAACTATAAATTGGATTGAATGTTATTGTTTTACTTTGCTTTTTATGTTTTTTTTTAAGCTTTATTTTAAGTCCAGGATTACATGTGCAGGTATCTTATATAGGTAAATATCATATCACAGGGGGTTGGTGTACAGATTATTTTGTCATCCAGGTAGTGAACACAGTACCCAATGGGTAGTTTTTTGATTCTCACCCTCCTTCCACTCTCTATCCTCAAGTAGGCCTCAGGGTCTGTTGTTTCCTTCTTTGTGTCCATATGTACTCAATGTCTAGCACCCACCTATAAGTGAGAACATGCAGCACTTGAGTTTTTTTGTTAGTTTGCCCAGAGAAATGGTGTCCAGCTCCATTCATGTTTCTGCAAAGGACATGATCTCATTCTTTGTTGTGGATGCATAGTATTCCATGGTGTATATGTACCACAGTTTCTTTATCCAGTTTACCTTTGATGGGCTTCTAGGTTAATTCTAAGTCTTTACTACTGTGAATAGTGCTGCAATAAATGTATTCATGAATGTGTATTTATGGTGGAATTATTTATACATCTTTGAGTATATACCCAGTAATGAAATTGCTGGGTCAAATGGTAATTCTGTTTTAAGTTCTTTAAGAAATTGCCAAACTGCTTTCTACAAAGGCTGAACTAACTTACATTTCTACCAGTAGTGTATAAGTGTCTTCTTTTTTCCACAGCCTCACCAGCATCCGTTGTTTTTTGACATTTTAATAATAGCCATCTGACTGGTATGAGATGGTGTCTCACTGTGGTGTTGACTTGCATTTCTCTAACGATCAGTGATGTTGAGCACTTTTTCTTATGTTTGTTGGCTGCATGCATGTCTTCCTTTGAAAAGTGTCTGTTCATGTCCTTTGCCTACTTTTTAATGGAATTGTTTGGTTTTTGCTTGTTAATTTGTTTAATTTACTTACAGATTCTGGATATTAGTCCTTTGTCAGATACATAATTTCAAAATATTTTTCCTCATTCTTTAGGTTGTACATTTACTTTGTTGTTAGTTTCCTTCGCTATGCAGAAGCCCGTTAGTTTAATTAGATCTTATTTGTCAATTTTGGCTTTTGTTGCAATTACTTTTGGCTTCTTTGTCATGAAGTCTTTTCCAGGTCCTATGTCCAGAATGGTATTTCCTAGGCTATTTTCCAGGATTTTCATAGCTTTTGGTTTTAAATTAGAATATTTAACCAAATTTGATCTATTTTTTGTATGTGATGTAAGAAATCGGTTCAGTTTTAACTCTCTGTTTATGGTCATCCAGTTATACCAGTATCATTTACTGAATATGGAGTGTTTTTTCCCATTGCTTGTTTTTGTCGATTTTATCAAAGATAAGATGATTGTAGTTGTGCAGCATTATTTCTGGGAGCTCTATTCTGTTCCATTGGCCATGTGTCTGTTTTTGTACCAGTATTATGCTATTTTGCTTACTGTAGCCTTGTAGTATAGTTCAAAGTCACATAATGTGATGCCTCCAGCTTTGTTTTTTTTTTTTTTTTCCTAGAATTACTTTGGCTATTCTGGCTCATTTTTGGTTTCATACAAATTTTAAAATAGTTTTTCTAATTAGCTGATGAATGTCATTGTAGTTTGATAGGAATACATTGCAGTTTTGATAGTCTTTAAACTGCTTTGGGTAAATGGTAGTTTTCACTAATTTTCACAGTATTGATTGTTCCTATCCATGAGCATAAAAATGTTTTCCATTTGTTTGTGTCACCTCTAATTTCTTTGAGCAGTGTTTTGTAATTCTCATTGTGGAGGCCTTTCACCTCCTTGGTTGGCTGCAGTCCTAGGTATTTTATTCTCGTGCAGGTATTTTGAATGACATTTTGTTATTGATTTGGCTCTCAGTTTGGATGCTGTTGGTGTATATGAGTGCTACTGGTTTTTGTACATTGATTTTGAATTGTGAGGTTTTGCTGAA